GCCAAGCGGGCCCGGAGCTGGTCGCTCGCTGGGGCCGCGCAGCGGAGAAGTGGCGCTGCAAGCAGGGCGCCGCTGCCGCTCGGAGCCGCGCGTTCGCCACCGACGTCGCGGAGACCGTTTGCGCTGACGACCTGCCTGACAGCTTGCGGCAGGCCGAGGAGTGCAAGAAGTCTGCGACATGGTCGAGGCGAGCTTCGCAGATGAAGAAGCCTGGCGTATCGTGGAGTCCTTTCCGTGGCGGGGCCCAGCGAACATCTTGCGCCTGGAGGGGCTCGCGCCCTCGAATGCTCTGCGTCACACCCTTCGGGGTCGTCGAGCTGTTGGGCGTCGTATTCTCGCCCTCGTTGACAACGTGGGGCTTGCGCTGGCAGTCGGAAAGGACCGCTCGGCGGCCTTTCAGCTTCGGGATGTCCTGCGAGAGCTGGCCGCATTGACCCTGGGATGTCGTCTTCACATACATGTTCGCTGGGCCCCGTCCGGAAGGAATCCAGCGGACAATCCATCCCGAGGTCTGTCGTGCATCGAGCGTCAGCAGGAGCAGGATTTCACCATCCAGGCTGGCAACACTGTTCGTGATCGTGAACCTGCTAAGCCTCTTCCGGCCGTCCCGACGTTCCCAGCCTTCAGCCCGATCGGCCCCTTACCAGATGCGCTCCCTGGGGGCGACCCAGGGGTGCCGGCTGGCGGGGCTGGCAGTGCCGTCAGCGGCAGCAGCAGCAGCGCGGCGGACGCGGTGCCGCCGATCATCGCTGCCATCGGGGCCCCTCCAGGACTCGTCCCACATGACGTACCTCGAGAGCCGTTCAGTGGCGGATGCTACACGCAAATATTACTTCAAGAAGATGAGGTCGTTTCTCGAGAGGGCCCTGGAGTCGGGCATCGACTGGAACAATGTGCAACAATTGGACAACGCGCTGGCCCTCTACCTGGACAAGCTGTTCTACCTCGGCATGGCAGGCGATGTGGCCAGCAAGACCTTAGCGGCGGTGAAGTTCCACTACCCGGAGGTTGGCCGCTACGGGGATCAGAGCCTGCCTCGCTCGGTCCGCGCGCTTGCAGTATGGGCGAAAGTCGTCCCACGCAGGACGCGGTTGCCGATGCCCTGATGCTGGCCATTGTGGGTCACCTGTTGTCGCGCCGCCTTGTCGAGCAGGCGGTGGCCACCTTGCTGCCCTTCAGCGCGCGCCTGCGGCCGGGCGAGTGCGACTCCTTGGCGGCGCTCCAGCTGGTGCCACCTGTGGCTGCAGGAGGGCCCCAGGCTCGTTGTTGGGGCCTCCTTGGGCCCCGCGGAGCTCGAGAAGCCCACCGAGGTCGGCGCCTGGGAGGAGAGCGTGGTGCTGGACGACTTGGACTTCCCCCGCCCCTGCCTGAGGAAGCTGAAGGAGAGGTGCCGCCCCCCGGAGCAACGGATCTGGACCTTCGAGCCAGGCAGCCTCACCGTCAGAATCCAGGAGGCCGCCGAGGCGCTGGGTGTGGCGGCGATGGGCATCACCGCCTACGGCCTGCGGCGCGGCGGCGCGCTCTCGAAGCGGCGGAGCCCGCTGGAGGTCAAGGCCCGAGGCCGCTGGCGCAGCGACGCCATGATGAAGAGGTACGGCAAAGAGGCTCGCGCCCGTGCCGCGCTTCACGAGGTGCCGCAGGAGGTGCTGGACTTCGGCAGCGCAGTGATGCACAACCTGCCAGACATCGTGCTGGGCGGCGCGGCGCTGCCACCGGCGCCCTTCCTGGCGCAGCTCCGCTGACCGACGCTGAGATCAGGCTTCGCCTTCGCCGCATTTTGCGGCGCGCTTTAGGTTCAGCAAGAAGTCATCCCAGCCAGGTTTTCTTGGAGCTTTATGCGGGAAAAGGCGGGCTGTCCAAGGCCATGAGGGCCCAGGGCTGCGCCTCGGCTTCTGTCGACATTTTGAAACAGCCTTGGCTTGATTTGAACCGCCGCGTGGTCCAAACGACGCTTCAGTAATGTGATTTCAGCTGTCTGGATGGGGACCCCTTGCTGCACCTGGCCCCAAGCCCGCCACGGTCCACCGGGTTCCAGTTGGTGCCGTTTGCGTAGTGCCGAGCACATTTGGGGCCTCCCTAATCTGGATTCCAAGGCTTCCGAAGCGTGCAAGAGGGGTAACGAGCAGTTGCGTTTTTGTCTTCGGGTTGATTGGAACTGCCTCCGCGACGCCACTCCCGTGGCGCTGGGGAACCCAGGGTCCAGCTGGATATGGAAGGCCCCCACGCTCGAGCGCTTGGCCCGTCGACCGACTAGCCAGGCCTGCGCTGTGGACTATTGTGGTTTCGGGGCGCGGTGGCGCAAAAGGACCGGGGTGCAAGTTTGGGTCCCGAACTTTTCCATCCAGTTGCCTACTCTCTGCTATGGCCGAGGCGGGATCTGCAGTCACACGTCCAAGCCTCGCATTGTCCTGACTGGGGTTGATCAGAGCTCGGGCAAAATTTGGACCCGCGCTGCTGAGCATTACCCCCCTCGTTTTTGTTCCTGCTTTGCCCGGGCTCTGAAACACAGTGTGGATTCAAATCGTTTAGTGCGATTGCGTCAGATTATATCTTAAGGCGGCAAATGCCAGAAGCCCGTTTGGGGTGGCTAGGGGTCTTCTCCCTCTCCTCCTCGTTCGTGTGTGTTGTGTTGTGGTGGTGCTGTGGTGTGTGTGTGTGTGTGTGCCTCTCGCTCGTCCCTCCTCTTTCGTTCCTCTTAGACCGAGCTCTGCCCAGGTGGTGCCCTGTCGAGTTGGATCTGCCTGGCCGGAGACACACAAAATGTCTCCTGGCCAGGGATAGCGTCACGATGGGTTGTTCTTGAACAGTAATCGTAGAGCGATTTCGGGCCGCGCGGTTGCCTGCAACCGCCACGGCTCAAGCCTTTTCTGTGCCCGCCCGCTGCCCCCCTGTGTTGGGGGTCTTTTCTCTCTCCTCCTCGTTCGTGTGTGTTGTGTTGTGGTGGTACTGTGGTGTGTGTGTGTGTGCCTTTCGCTCGTCCCTCCTCCTTTCGTTCGTCTTTGACCGAGCTCTGCCCAGGTGGTGCCCTGTCGAGTTGGATCTGCCTGGCCCGAGACACGCAAAATGTCCCCTGGCCAGGGATAGCGTCACGATGATGATGATGATGATGATGATGACGATGATGATGATGATGATGATGATGATGATGATGATGATGATGATGATGATGATGGTGATGCTGATTATGATGATGATGATGACGATGACGATGACGATGGCGATGATGATGATGATGATGATGATGATGATGATGATGATGATGATGATGATGGTATAGTGGTGGTGATGCTGATAATGGTGATGATGATGATGCTGCATGTGGTGGTGGTGATGATGATGATTAAGATGTTGTGGTTGACATGGTTGTTGTTGCTGTCGTTGTTGTTGTTGTTGTTGCTGCTGTACTTGTCGTTGTTGTTGTTGTTGAGGTTGTTGGTGTTGTTCTTATTGTGTGTAGCGATGAGTAGGGCGACGCGGCAACGATAGCGATGACGATGACGATGATGATGTTGATGTTGATGCTGACAATGATGATGACGATGATGATGCTGCTCCTGCTGATGATGATAATGATGGTGGTGGTGATGGGGCTGACAATGATGCTGGTGATGATTGTGTTGGTGGTTATGTTAATGCGAAGGGCTGGTTCGGATGGCGACACTATTGTTGTGGATGATGATGATGATTATGGTGATCACGATGCTGATGATGCTGATGGTGATCATGATACTGCTGATGCTGCTGATTGTGATCATGATGATGATCATGATGATGTTGCTGATGATGACGATGGTGCTACTGATGCCGATGTTGACGCCGAGGTGTTGATGCTGAAGGCGATCATGCTGATGATGTTGGATATGGTGATGTTGATGATGACGATGATGATGATGATGCTGCTGATGATGATGATGCCGACGACGATGACGACGACGATGATGCTGATGTTGCTGAGGACGATGGCTACTCTGAACATGATAGCGATGCTGATTTTTATGATGTTGATAACGACGACGATTCTGATGACGATTCTGATGACGATGATGCTGATCCTGATGCTGATGCTGATGCTCCTGCTGATGATGATGAGGATATTGACGCTGATGCTGATACTGCTGATGCTGAGGATGATGGTGACGATGACGAGGACGATGCTGCGGTTGCCGCTGATGATGGTGATGATTATGATGATGATGATGTTGATGCTGATGGTGATGCTAATGCTGATGATGCTGGTTCTGATAGGTTGTGATGGTGGTTGATGGTGATGGTGATGATGATGCTGATGATGAGGATGATGATGATGCTGATCTTGGTGATGCTGATGCTGATGCTGTTGCTGATACCGATGCTGCTGATGATGCTGATACTGATGCTGATGCTGCTGATGATGATGCTGATTATGATGATGATGATGATGATGATGATGATGATGATGACGATGATGATGCTGATGCTGATGATGATGATGATGACGACGATGATGATGATGATGATGCTGATGATGATGATGATGATGATGATGACGACGACGACGACGACGACAACGACGACGACGACGACGATGATGATGATGATGATGATGATGGTGATGATGATGATGATGATGATGATGACGATGCCGATGATGATGATGATGATGATGATGATGATGATGATGATGATGATGCTGATCATGATGATGATGTTGATGATGATGATGATGATGATGATGATGATGATGATGCTGATGCTGCTGCTGCTGATGATGATGATGATGATGATGATGATGATGATGATGATGATGATGATGACGACAATGGTGGCGGTGCGATGTTGCGGAGAAAGATACGGAGGAGGAGGACGAGGTCGTGGAGGAGGAGGAGGCGGAGGAGGAGGAGGAGGAGGCGGCGGGGGAGGGGCAGGCGACGGAGGCGCAGGGAGGAGGCGGAGGAGGCGCAGGAGGAGAGGAGGACAGCACGGCCGGGATGCCGTCATCCTCGGAGGGGAGACCCTCGGAGAGGGGGGCCCGCGGACTGCAAGACGGGGGCCGCGGACCTCTCGGCCAGCATCACCGCCGCTGGCACCAAGGCTGTGCGGCGCCCGTGCGTCGCGCTGCCAGCGCGGATGCCACAGCTCCATGATGCTGATGATGAGGACACCGACACCGCCGACGTTGCTGATCAGGATCTGGACGACGTCGACGACGAATGTAATGATGATGATGATGCTGATGATGGTGATGATGCTGCTGATGCTGATGCTGCTGCTGATGCTGCTGCTGATGGTGATGATGATGGTGATGATGCTGATGCTGATGGCGCTGCCGATGGTGCTGCTGCTGATGCTGATGATGATGCTGCCGATGCCGATGATGATGCTGTTGCTGCAGATGCTGATGATGATTATGACGATGACGATCTGCTGCTGCTGATGCTGCTGCTGATGATTATGATGCTGATGTTTCCGCTGATGATGCTGATGATGATGACGATGATGCTGATGCTGATGCTGGTGATGCTGATGCTGTTGATGATGATGCTGCTGCTGATGATAGGATGGCGACGATGATGATGACGATGCCGATGGTGACGATGATGCTGATGGTGATGCGGCTGCTGCTGCTAATTCTGAGGTCTCTCATTATTCTGGTGAGGATGATGGTGGTGGTGATGCTGATGATGCTGTTGCTGATCATGATGATGATGATGGTGATGATGATGATGATGATCATGATGATGATCATGATGATGATGATCATGATGATGATGCTGATGCTGATGATGATGATGATGATGATGATGCTGGTGATGATGATGATGATGATGATGATGATGATGCTGATGATGATGGCGGCGAGGATGAGGATGAGGATGAGGAGGAAGAGGGTGATGAGGAGGAGGAAGAGGATGATGATGATGCTGATGATGATGATGATGATGATGATGCTGATGATGATGATGATGCTGATGCTGATGCTGATGCTCTTGCTGCTGATCATGATGATGATGATGCTGATGATGATGCTGATGCTGATGCTGATGATGTGGAAGAGGAGGAGACACGACGGGGGGATGAGGGTGCGGGTGATGAGGATTGTGATGCTGATGATGCTGATGGTGGAGAAGTGGTGATGAGGAGCCTTCTCTCACCAAGATGAGCTCGCAGAGCGGGAGACACGGTGGCCCCCCTTCGGGCACCTTGCTTATGTTGAAATTCGGCGTGGGGTCGAAGTCCAGCAAAACAGATCATACCAGCGTCCCCGAAGTCAGGACAGCCCCAGGGACCGCAAGAGGCTCACAAGAGCCCCCAAGAGCCGTACAAGAGGCTTTCCAGAGGCCCCTGAGGGGCTTCAGGAGGCTTCGCTAGGCGGGGGGGCGGGATAGTCTTTTGGCGTGGGGTATGGCTACCCCCCCCAAAGGGGAAGCAGGGGGTTGGAATAACGACATCTTTAATCACCTACGCCACGAGCTAGGCGGGATTTCCCCCCCCATGCTGCTTCCCTCCTGTCGAGTGCGGAGGGTGGGTGAGCCTCCTGACAACATCCTTCAGGGACGGCCCTCAGGGCACTGACGAAAGGCCTGCTGCACGGGAGAAGACGTGTGCCTCTTCCTTCTCCGCCTCCTCTTCCTGCGTCTGACGCACCCGACGCAGGCGCGCCCCCGCCGCCGCTTGTCGCCGATGCTGATGTGGGATGAACTCTGGGGGGGTGTCGCTCATCCTCCTCTTCCTCCCTCCCTCTTCCCGTATTGCTCCTTCTCCGCCTCCTCGTCCTCCTCCTCCTCCTCCCCCCTGCCCCCTGGTGTCTTGTCCTGTCGCCCCGCTCCGCCTGCTCCCCCTCCGCCGCCGAAGCCACGTGCTGCTGCTGCTGCCCCCGTCTGCTAGTCCCTCCTCCCCCCTTCTGCTCTCCCCGCCGCTGCTCCTGCTGCTAGTCTTATGTCGGGCGTGTCCCCCCACAGGGGGGTTTTCGACGAAAAATAAAGGATACCCCAAACATACCCCAAAAAGGTCAAAACATATTCAAAAAATAGTCCCCAGACTATTCGGGGACTATTTTTTTGACTATTTTGGGGTTACTTTTATTTTTTTGTCGAAAATCCCCCTGTAGGGGGATAGGCCCGACTTAATGCTAGTCCCTCTTCCTTCCCCACAGCTTCCCCTGCTGCTCCTCGGGCCTCTCTCCGGATCTGCGGCTCCACCCTCCACAGGGCCGTGCAGAATACACGTGTGCTTTGCAGGCACATGCGTGGCCTTCCAGGCGCAGCTCCCTCAAGCCAGAGCCCCGTCATCAACATCGGATCAGCATAGCAGTGCTCATGGCGGTCAGTTGGAGAGCGCAGAGCCCCAGCGGGGGCTCGGCCGCCCAAACACCCGATCTTGCACCTTCTGCTTCGCTGGCCGACTCGGGCTCGGATGCAGCTCCGGCCCCCCATGATGAGCTCCTGCACGATGATCGACCCTGGCTTCGGCGCAGCTCCCTCGATCACAGGGACGTTTTCTAGGGATCGATGGCTGCAGTGGGCGCATGGGGTAAGATATTGGCTCGTCAGCAGGTGCCCCCACGGAAGCTTCTATGTTCCCGAGTGCCATGGGGGCGCACGGGACTCGGGGCCCTTTTCGGAAGAGTTCAGGTGGACGGCAGGTGTCTATATTTTCCGCAGCAGGATTTGTCTCTCTCACCTGCTGTGCTCCCAGACCTTCGACAACATCGGAGGTCCGACAGTACAGCAGGTATTTTTTTCCCAACCATCCTGTGGTGTTGGGTCCTCGTTTTGAAGAGACAGCGCCCCGCGTCCCGCCTCCTTCCTTCCTCCTCTCCCTCCTCCCTCCCCCTCCTTGTCTCTGCTCTCGGCACACCTTTCACACGTTTCGTAACCCCATAAGGAGCTCCACCGAAGGCCCCAGTGGTTGCTCTCGTATGCGGTTCCCCCACCCAGGGCAGCGTTTCGTGGCCCCATAGGGAGCTCCACCGAAGGCCCCAGTGGCTGCTCTCGCATGCGGTTCCCCCGCCCAGGGCAGCGTTTCGTGGCCCCATAGGGAGCTCCACCGAAGGCCCCAGTGGCTGCTCTCGCATGCGGTTCCCCCACCCAGGGCAGCGTTTCGTGGCCCCATAGGGAGCTCCACCGAAGGCCCCGGTGGCTGCTCTCGCATGCGTTTCTCCGCCCAGGGCAGCGTTTCGTGGCCCCATAGGGAGCTCCACCGAAGGCCCCAGTGGCTGCTCTCGCATGCGGTTCCCCCCACCCAGGGCAACGTTTCGTGGCCCCTTAGGGAACTCCACCGAAGGCCTCAGTAGCGTTTCGTGGCCGCATGGGGAGCTCCACCGAAGGCCCCGGGGCTGCTCTCGCATGCGCTTCCCCCCCCAGGGCAGCGTTTCGTGGCCCCATAGGGAGCTCCGCCGAAGGCCCCAGTGGCTGTTCGCATGCGGTTCCCCCACCCAGGGCAGCGTTCGTGGCCCATAGGGAGCTCCAGTGCCCGCACCCAGGGCAGCGTTTCGTGGCCCCATAGGAGCTCCACCGAAGGCCCCAGTGGCTGCTCTCGCATGCGGTTCCCCCACCCAGGGCAGCGTTTCGTGGCCCCATAGGGAGCTCCACCGAAGGCCCCAGTGGCTGCTCTCGCATGCGGTTCCCCCACCCAGGGCAGCGCTTCGTGGCCCCATAGGGAGCTCCACCGAAGGCCCCAGTGGCTGCTCTCGCATGCGGTTCCCCCACCCAGGGCAGCGCTTCGTGGCCCCATAGGGAGCTCCGCCGAAGGCCCCGGTGGCTGCTCTCGCATGCGGTTCCCCCACCCAGGGCAGCGTTTCGTGGCCGCATGGGGAGCTCCACCGAAGGCCCCCGTGGCGCAGTTCGCATGCGGTTCCCCCTGCCCAGGGCAGCGTTTCGTGGCCCCATAGGGAGCTCCACCGAAGGCCTCAGTGGCTGCTCTCGCATGCGTTTCCCCCTCCCAGGGCAGCGCTTCGTGGCCCCAGAGGGAGCTCCACTGAAGGCCCCAGTGGCTGCTCTCGCATGCGGTTCCCCCACCCAAGGCAGGGTTTCGTGGTCCCACAAGGAGCCCCACCGAAAGCGACACCCACAACGCGTTACGAATACTTGTTTATGGTTGGGTCCTTGGCCAGGATAATTTCGCCCCGCGGCCCCGCAGATCAAGCAATGCCGAAGCGTCTTGGCTTGCCTATAGGCCCACCGAAGAATGTTCAAACAATCTTTGTGGTCTGCACGAAATGTTCTTAGAACATTTCTGGCTGATGCTGTCTTGTTTGGATGCATCGGGCTTATGTTCTAAGAACATTGTTCTTGTTCTGATCAAATTTACGGGTCGTAGTAGGCCTATAGGAATGACGGGACGGTCGGTCCCTGCTCAATTGGAGGACTCGACATCCCGTACTCCGTCACTGGCTCCTCGCCGCGGACTGTTCCTGTGCGGGCCCCGGGGCCCGAAAATGGATCCCGAGAAACCGCAGACCATAACAAAGTTGGAGAAATCCTGCATCTTCAGGCCCATGTCAGATTCGGGCAAATGGTTGTTCCTCTAGTTTGCCTTGTGCACCCAGGCTCCTGTGGTGCCAGAAAAAGGGCTCCGTTCCTGATTCAGCGATCTGTATTTCAGTAGCTCGACTGTAGAGGAGGGTGGTGGTGGTGGTGGTTTACGGGGGGGGGGGGGGACAGGCGCCCTCGCTTTCCGCGCTGGGCGATCGCAATCAGCCTGTGGTCTGGCTGAGGAGTCAGATTCGGGCGAAAGGGTCCTCTGCAAGGGGGTCTCAAACTTCTGCGCAATAAATCGTTCGTGCTGGATCGTGCCAGATGCGGGCAGAATGCGTTGCATTTGGCATCGCTGGTCCTTGACAGAACCCACGCGCCAGGAGCCGCAGGGTGAACTTACTGCATGTCTTTTTGCGACCCCGCTACGAACGATCCCCTTTGCCCGAAAGCAGCCAGGGGACGGACCCAGTGGGCCCGTCGCGTCCCCAATTGTCCTCAGGAGCAACGATAGGGGGGGACAGGTATAGGGGGGGATGGATCGACTCCCAATCGCCCACTGATCGCCGCCAGGGGCGCCCGAGAGCCCCGACATGCCCGGGAACGTGCGGATTCACGATCGGGAGGCCATCGCCGACCTATCGGCGATGTATCGCCGATTCCAAGATATCCTTTTTCAGTGTCGGGCCCTGGAGCTCCCAAGCTCCCCCCCCGGGACCCGGGGGGAACAAAACCGAGAAAGAAAAAACCAACTCGGAGTTCTTCCGGGGCTTTCCCCGGGGGGGGGGGGTCCAGGGAACTCCCACACCGGCCTCCGAGGTCGAGGTTCCCCCTCCCTGCGCCAGTCCCCCCGCTGTCGTTGCTCCGCGTGCCCTCGTGGCTGCCCGCGCGCCTCGCGCGGCAGGGCACCCAGCTCGGCTCCGACGTCGCGTCGGCGGAGGAGCAGCTCGCCCAGGCGCTGGCGCGCGCCACGGCTCTCCTTGGCGCCGTCGTCCTCGCTGTCGCCTTCACGGCCGCTGCCGTCGCCGTCGCCGACACAGTCGTCGTCGCCGTCCCGTCGCCGTCGCCGTCGTCGTCGTCGTCGTCGTCGTCGTCGTCGTCGTCGTCGTCGTCGTCGTCGCAGGGCTCCGTTCGGTTCGATTCGATTCCGATTGCTTCCGATTGCGAGTCGGTTCGGCTTCGCATTCCGATTCGGGCTCCGAGTTCTCGGTGGAGGCCTACTGGCCTGCCGATTTCCGCCGATTCGACTTTTCCCCACACGGCTGCTGATGTCATCCGATCTGATCCGCTTCCACTGCCGATCCGACTCATCGATTCGATTCTGGGCTCTCCTGCGCCGTCGCAGTCGCCGTCGTCTTGGCTGTCGTCTCGGAGGAGTGCGAATTGAGGCAGCGCTAGTTTTATGTCGGGCGTGTCCCCCTACAGAGGGGATTTTCGAAGACAAATTCAAAGATACCCCAAAAATACTCCAAAAAGGTCAAACAATACTCCAGAAATAGTCCCCCGACCATTTTTTGACTATTTGTTGTTCATTTTTGGGGTATTTTTTATTCATCGTCGAAAGTCCACCTGTAGGGGGACAGGCCCGACTTCACGCTAGTTGGCCTTCGAGGTGCCTCCTCGTCGCCACGGGCTGGACGCAGCTCGGACAAAAGAAGACCCCCCTCGGAGAGGCGTCCGGGGGGCGGCTCCGAGCTGCCGTCGCCTCGGCTCGCCCTGCTCCGATCGTCGTCGTCGTCCTCCTCCTCCTTCCGCCGCCTCCTCCTCCTCCCCGCCTCCTCCTCCGCCTCCTCCTCCTCCGCCTCCTCCTCCTCCTCCTCCTCCTCATTGCTCCTGGGCGCCGGGCGCCGGCGGGGCAACGCAGCTCCACGGCGCTCCCCCGCCGCCCGGCGGCGGAGAGAGAGAGCGCCGCGCTCGAGCCTCGCCGCGCCCCCCCCCCCCCCCCGGCGCGCCCTCTGCGCTCGCCTCCGGCGCGAGGGGCGCTCTCTCCGGCCGGGAGCGCTTCGCCGCGGCCGCCTCGCCCCCCGCGGCTCTCGGCGCGGCCCCCCCTCGGCCGGTCGGCCGTGCGCCTCTCCAGCAGCGGCGCGCTTAGTGCTCGCGCGCCCTCTCCTGCGCCCTCCTCCTCCTCCTCCTCCTCCTCCTCCTCCTCCTCCTCCTCCTCCTCCTCCTCCTCCTCCTCCTCCTCCTCCTCCTCCTCCTCCTCCTCCTCCTCCTCCTCCTCCTCCTCCTCCTCCTCCTCCTCCTCCTCCTCCTCCAGCGCCGGCCGTGCGGCTGCCGTGGCGCGGACCCTTCGGCGGGCGGCGCCGCGGAGCCGAGGCGACGAGCGGGCGAGCTGGCGCCTCTCTCGGGCCCGAGGAAGGGGGGGGGATTGGGGAAGGGGGGGGTTACGGAATCTGCTGCCTGCAGCTGGTTTCGGCTCCACCGAGGGGCCCATTCCTCGATACATCGTTGCCTCCGGCGCCGGGAGGCGCCGGGAAAATCAGCTACGTGAGCTGATTCTCAAACCTCCCCTTTGCTATCCCCCCCTTTCGCCCGACCCGAGCCTCTGGCGCGGCCCTCGGCCGGGCGCTGCTCGGGGCGCTCGTGGGCGCGGAGTCCCCTCTAGAGCTCGCGGTGGCCGCCGAGGAGCTAGAAGGCGGCACGTGCGTCCTGCAGGGGCGTCAGGGGCGTCCTGTCTCGTTGGTCCTCGGGACGTGTGTGAGCCCACGCGTTCGAGTGGGGGACCGACTACAGGATTTATTTACCCCCAAATTCATGTGTTCGTCAATCAGGAGGGAACAGAACACACAGACACAATTGATCGTCGATCCCCCGGAAAATATGGGAAAATATGGGAAGTGGGGGGTAAGACGAAAATCCAAAAAATATGGAAACATATGGGGAATCGTTTTATTTGTGTGTATTTATTTGTGTGCCCCAGGGCCCCTTCAGTCAAACCTATGACTAATGCTTGATCAATGAACATTCTACGTATGACTCGACGAGAACATCAATTTCGGGGTGCATGAATTCTGTAGCCGATCCCATACTCGAAGCGTGTGCTGCCTCGTTCGGCTGGACCGTGCGGTTTCACTATCGGGGGCCTACAGTCGGGGCCCTGAAGAAGGAACCCTTTTCGTTGGGAAGGGGCTCCGCGTTCCTTGAGTGTTTCGCAGCTTGCCTCAGGTTTCCTTATGTTTTCGATCGGAAATCGAAGTTGAACTTATGGAAAAAAGGGGCCTCGTTCTTTATTTTGGGTTCCTTAGGTCAACGCCCCGACTGTATCGCCGATCTGCACCGCCGATTCCAGATCGACGTTCCCCCCCCCCCCCCTGCAGGGCCGCTTTCGATCTGGCCGGGTCGATCCGACGCGCTTCCGACCCGGTGCGCCCCGCTGCTTGCGGAGCGCTGCTGTGCATGCTGGCGCGGCCGCTCCGATTCTCACCACCGCAGGCCTAGAGGTTGACACCAACACCAATATCGGCGGTGTGCCTCCACCGAGGGAAGGAAGAAAATCCTGATCTCGGTGATGGTGGTAATATTCTGGCTTCCAAGGTGGCCGAAATATTACCACCAGCACCGAAATCTAGGATCATCTCCCCCCTGTGGAGACACCCCCCTGTGTTGGTGTTGGTGCCCATTTCCAGGCCTCCCACACCACCCACCAAACCACCCCAACCCAACCCGAAGGCCCCAATTCGCCCTCCATTTCCAGTTGGGGGGGGGGTCGGGGAGCGTCGAGAAAACACACATGAAGCCCGTACCCCCCCCCAACCCGAAATTCGGGTCTTCGGGTTGGGTTGGGGTGGTCTGGTAGGTAGTCAGATTCCGACCCCGTGGCGATGCGGGCCGCATCCGACGCACATGTAGCCTCGGTCCGATCTGCCGACTCGGTGCTGGCCGCTCCTCCCCTAACCTTAAGTCGGGCCTGTCCCTCTACAGGAGGAATATTCAAAAACAACAACGAATAGTCAGGGGACGATTTTTTGAGCATTTTTGATTATTTTAAGTCAGTTTTTATTTATTCGTCCACAATTCCCCTGTAGGGAGACAGGCCCGACTTAACCCTAGCCTGCCCCCCCCCCATGTCGGCGTCGCCCACACGTGCTATGTACTGCTACGCCTGCGTTGCCCCCCCCCCCCCCCCCACCCACCACATGGGCGACGCGTGCGGCCAGAACTCTTATAATCTAGTATCCGCTCGGTGGCGGGCGCGGTCTGGCCATCGTGCTCGTGGAACGATCTACCGTCAGCCCGTACAGTGAGGATGCGCGGTAAGGATGCGAGGCCTTCGGAAGCCCATTTCGAAGTTTTCGAGCGGGGCGCGGCCAACGAACGTGGCCAAGGATGCACCGAGGATGCAATGATGCAAGGGTACCCTTGGGAAGGTTGCCCGTTCTTGCTATGCGGGTTGACTGTACTCTAAGGCTTGTGTGCTATATGAAGCGTTCCAAACAAGACCTTGTCTCGAGTTCGAGGATCGAAGGAGTTGTCATCTCTTCCGCCGCGGAAGGCGGCGGAAGGTCGGCGGAAGGCCGCCGGAAGGGGGCGGAGGTAGACAAGAGCGCTTCCGTGAGATGAAGGCGTTTTGGGTTCAGGGTCTCCGAACTCCGCCAGTTTTCTTCGCGTCGCACGTGCGCCTCCAGCATCGGCACACAGTGCTTGCGTGTCCTCCGGTCCTGCGCCCCACGCATCATCCTGGCCCCTCGCGCCCCTCGCGCCATCTGTGCGGCTGCCATACCGCGGATCCTCGGGCAGGCGGCGCCGCGGACCCTAGACGAGCGAACGAGCTGGCGCCTCCGTGGACAGGTCGCCAAGGGCGAGCAGGTGGTGCATACAGTGGAGACCCATGCCAAGGAACACCCTGCTTGCCTCCAGGGTGCCCTGGGTTTCCTGGATTTCGACGGTTTTGCGACGGACAGCGTGCTGCTCGTTCACCAAACATCGATGGACGTCCTTGCTCTCAGGGTTGGGTTTCCTGTGGAAAGTTTCTTGCGGTCGGGCCCCTACTGTAGGCCACGGCGTCACCCCAACACACTTATACTAGATGTGCGTCGGCCCCCCAGGGGCGACGCGCGCACCGAGAAATTTTATAGTATATGCGTCGTGGCGGGCGCTTTCTGGCCACACCGCTCGGGAAACGGTGTACTACAAGATGGGTATACTATATGTTCGGGTCGGACGCGCGCCTCCAAGGAGGACATATAGTATTAGTATGTCTCTGTGCGTCCCATGGCGTATGCTTTGACCACTGCCCCCCCTCCTCCAAACGAAAACTGAGGCGGGGCGGCCGCACAGGCATCCCACGCTCTCCGACCACATAACCCCATCGCGCAGACATGCGGTGGCCCACAGAGAGCGGGACGCCCGCAGGCTCCCTAACGACCCCCCCCAAACTCGAGGAGGACGTCAAGGCTGAGATCGAACTTTACGCTCACAGGCACTCACATGCGGACCCACCGGCCCGCGGTCGGGGGCCACGGGCGACGACCACGACTACGGCCGCGACCGCGACACGAAAAGTCGAGTCGGCGGAAATCGGCAGGCCAGTAGGCCTCCATCGAGAAAC